AACCCAAGCATTGACATGCGCGGGTTTATTTTTAACAAAAAAAAACAAAAAGACGAAATAAGGCAAAATGGACGTAGCTTGGACCAGCCTCCGAACTGCGCCGACTGCAATGCGGTGCTGACCACTCGGTGCAATGCCTTCACACGTGGCTTTCAGCAATTCCACTGCTGTTATATATTCTACCCATGTCCCGGTTGTTTTGTACCTCAGAGGCGGCAACCACACCTGTACGCGGCGGTGCAAGCCACTGTAACACACGGGGTCACACACGGGGTCACACACGGGGTCACACACGGGGTCACACACGGGGTAACAGGGAACAATCCATGCGCAGTCCAACAATGTACGCCTCTGGTCAGTGTGGGGTCAAAAGTAAGTTCAATAATCAACAATTGTCTGTCTGGTTTGTGTTGTCTCGTTGGTATTGTACGCCTCGTTAGTAACGTCTGCCACGTTTACGCCTCGTTAGTAACGTCTGCCACGTTGTCTAAGTATCGCTTGTATAAGTATATATAAGTATCGCTTGTATAATTATCCGTCTCGTTCTGCTGCCTCTTTGTTCTCTCGTTGGTATTGTCCGTGTATAATTTGTTCAGTTGAATCCATTCGCCTAGAGGTTCCAACAATTTACGACTTGCAGACAATTTGCATGCATCTCATTTGAGAACGTCTTCTTATGTCAGGGCTCCATGCCCGTCTGGTGGGCACGACCATCGGTGCCAGTCGGTGTTGATGATTCTGCACGAGCCCAGCACGGGCGCCCTAAGCGAGCCACACACGACAGTAACCCAGGAGGTCACTCTCGCAAATGAGACCACCCTGGTCTCTCGAATCCACGCCGCCCCCCGTGACCAAACTAAACTTGAGTTGTCAGCACGACAGGTGGATGCCGTCTGTTCGGTTCGGCTGAGATGGACGCGGGCATCTTGGAGAATCCGTTAAGTCCCGGGTAGTTTCCTGATGACTCCCTGGTGGTTCCGAGAAATTCCTGATGATCCATGGTGAGGCCTGGTGGCCTATGATGAGGCGTGGTTGTGTCCCCCACCGCCCCAACAGATGAGACACAGAGGCTGGCTATGTCACCGACACGGTTTATTGTTGTGAACTGGACTCCACAGCGACAGACGCGGCGCACGGATAACGCAGTACAGCCACGAGGGGGGACCACCCGCCAGACCCATTGTGGAGCCCACAGAGACACGAGCATCTCCTCACCCCACACCGGTATTTATGTCGGGAGCATTTACATTGTATTTTAGTCACAGTCTTAGTCTAGTCAATGTCAACCTGTGGAATTTCAGTCCAGTCTTTCATCTGTCCCATTTATAAACTCGCCCCACTTTGGGAATGTGGAGTTTCCACCGCCGGTTCAAGGCTGTAAATAGATAACTAACACCAATGGCTCGGTGCTCATTTAAGCTGCAGGAGATCGCTCTGACTTGGTGGATTTTCATGATAAATTCGCACGATCGACTAGAGCAGTCGACCATGTAGTCACTCTCAGTCATCACGTGTTTATTGTGCAACCGTACGGATCTTGCCCTCCTCAATGTCACTGTATTAGCCAATCCGCGAACAGCCAGTTACCATGGAACACACACTGCATACAGCCAGTTACCATGGTACACACGCTCCATACAGCCAGTAGCCAGACTTTATCTCACCACACGCAGCCGACTGTGGTTGCTCGATGAGGAGCGAGGGATTTGAGAACATTTACCGGTTGTTTGCAATTGCCGTGCCGGGAGATGGAATTTAACCGGCGCCCTCTGGGTTACAAGTCCAGCCATGTCCTGCTGCTGCTATTGCTGCTGCTATTGCTGCTGCTATGGCAGCTGCCCCTGTCCCGGACACAACCGCTGGACCATTGACCCCCCCCCCTCGGTGTCTGCGCTCAAGACTCTTGGCTCCCCCCCCTTGTCACAGGCGGTCGCGCTTGGCTCTCTCCCCCTCTCTCTGCTGGACGGTGGTCAAAGTCGCGAAGATTCCCGTCCACTCGTCATGGTCATCGCGGACTCAACGTTACCAGCGCTTTGGCTGATGAAGATTTCCGTCACTAACGTCGTTCGGTCGCGAGATTGTCATCTCTGGCCCTGCAGCAGACGCCTCCTGGCCCACACCCCATGCGCCCGAACCACCACCCCCACCCCCCTCGGGATACCGACCCACGGCCTCGAACACCACGGGGTATTTAACGTCCACGCGTCTCGCAGACGGGGCGCGCTTCGTTACCGATCCGGGCTAATTAGCGGGGAGGAGAGAACCCAGATAATTAGACTGTGCCCGCACGCACGCACGCGCGCACGTCTAAATGTACAGCTATATACACACGCGCACACCCAGCGTATGTACACATGCATGGGAAGCAGTATAAGAGGCTTGGGAATGTGAGTGTGAAGTTGGTGAGCTCAGTCTAATACTCACCCTGATACTCACCCTGACACACTCACCATCGTACACTCGCCGTGACACAAATCTCGTTCTGATACGCTCATCACGTCATTCACTCGAACATGGACACACACTCACCGCAGTGAACAAACCCTGACCCTCGTGGTAACGCACAAACCCTGACACCCTCACCTGACACACTCACCCCGACACTCACCTGATACACTCACCCCGACACTCATCTGACACACTCACCTGACACACTCACCCCGACACTCACCTGACACACTCACCCCGACACTCATCTGACACACTCACCCCGACACTCATCTGACACACTCACCTGACACACTCACCCCGACACTCACCTGACACACTCACCCCGACACTCACCTGACACACTCACCCCGACACTCACCTGACACACTCACCTGACACACTCACCCCGACACTCATCTGACACACTCACCCCGACACTCATCTGACACACTCACCTGACACACTCATCCCGACACTCACCTGACACACTCACCCCGACACTCACCTGACACACTCACCCCGACACTCACCTGACACACTCACCCCGACACTCACCTGACACACTCACCCCGACACTCACCTGACACACTCACCCCGACACTCACCTGACACACTCACCCCGACACTCACCTGACACACTCACCCCGACACTCACCTGACACACTCACCCCGACACTCATCTGACACACTCACGCTCAGCAGCTCACTCTGACCTTCACATTCTCCGAGCCTCTTGACTGCTGCTCACGCCTATAAAGTGAGACACACACAGACACGCGCATAGACTATTGCGACAAGTGCTTTCAGTAAGCACCTAAGAAGCACGGCCACACACACACAGGTAGAGAGATTATAGCTACCAAACCTCCAGGTGTGGACAGGACCGCATTTGCCCGACTCGTGAAGCAGCCAATGGGCCGAGCTCCCTGAGTGGTGGGCGTGGTCAGAAGAGTGGGCGTGGTCAGAAGAGGAGTGGGCGTGGTCAGAAGAGTGGGCGTGGTCAGAAGAGGAGTGGGCGTGGTCAGAAGAGTGGGCGTGGTCAGAAGAGGAGTGGGCGTGGTCAGATGAGTGGGCGTGGTCAGAAGAGTGGGCGTGGTCAGAAGAGTGGGCGTGGTCAGAAGAGTGGGCGTGGTCAGAAGAGGAGTGGGCGTGGTCAGAAGAGGAGTGGGCGTGGTCAGAAGAGGAGTGGGCGTGGTCTGGGCAGTGGGCGGGGCTAGCGATAGAGGGGGGGGCAGGGCCTACGGCAGCCTCGGTATAAATACACAGACGCACGCAGGTAGAGAGAGACGAGCAGTATAAATACAAACACCCCCCGCATAGCCTCTAACGCACCGTTAGGGAAAGTGCTGTTAGCGAGCACCTACGAAGACCGGCACGGCACACGAGGGGGTGGGTGGTCAGCACCACACCTGGCCAACTCAATGTTGATGTTTACGCACCACACCAGGAACCACTTTGAGGTTGAGTCGACCTAAGGGAGCCCCAGGACCGGTTTAGATAATGGTCACACTCGGGTTGCCGGGTTCGAACTGCAGAGCGACAACCGTTGCACTAACTATACACACGTAGACTGACGTACACATGCACGTACCACATGTACACACACATGCACGTACACACATGTACACACACACACACATCCACGGACATGGACGGCGACCCCCGTTACCACAAACGTGACCTCGCAACGATGACAGCGATGGCACCGACGACACCAACGATCAGAGCAGAGGACGCGGGGTCTCCTCGCCAGTGCCTCGCCGGTATATCACTCAAACAGCAAGAGGCCCCATCGAGACCTGACCCTTACCTCACCCTTACCTCACCCAGACAACACGAGGCATCCACGTGAATCCCCTCTGCTCCCCGCGCCCCTGCTCTGGTCGTCTTGCGAGAGTTAAATCTACGATGTAAAAATGTTGAACCCTAAACGGCACATGTGGGAACACGGGGGAGTATTAATCATGAGAATTGTTTAAAAAAATAACTTCTCGTAAAATCTTTACACAAAAACACCGCGAGCTCTCAGCCACTGGTGTGAGGAGGTGAGATGAGGTGAGTGGTGCTGCTTGCCACGCTCCTTTACATCTTCATGAATCACTCCACCCCTCATCACACACCTCCTGTACCTCCTATTACAGGTCCACTCACATCTCCATCACCTCGTCACCCCACCCCTCCATCACCTCGTCACCCCTCCATCACCTCGTCACCTCGTCACCCCTCCCCTCCATCACCTCGTCACCCCACCCTCCATCACCTCGTCACCCCTCCATCACCTCGTCACCCCACCCCTCCATCACCTCGTCACCTCGTCACCCCTCCATCACCTCGTCACCCCACCCCTCCATCACCTCGTCACCCCGTCACCCCTCCATCACCTCGTCACCCCACCATCACCTCGTCACCCATCTCGTCACCCCACCCCTCCATCACCTCGTCACCTCGTCACCCCTCCATCACCTCGTCACCCCGCCATCACCTCGTCACCCATCTCGTCACCCCACCCCTCCATCACCTCGTCACCTCGTCACCCCTCCATCACCTCGTCACCCCACCCCTCCATCACCTCGTCACCCCTCCATCACCTCGCCACACAGCGGGCCCTCCGTGCCGAGTGAGACGGAACCCACGTCACCGGGGCCCCTGGGGGCCCTGGCTTAGATGACGAGGTGGAAGTTGGGCCCCGGCGAGACGGCGATGTCCCCGAAGGGGCAGCCCTGCTGCAGCTGCACGGCCTGCTGCTTCTTGAGCACGAGCAGGCTGTAGAAGCGCGTGGCCGCCTGCTTGCGCGAGCCGTGGCCGCAAAGCTCCAGCAGCTGCACCGAGGCGGCGCCGGACCTCGCCATCGCTCGCTGCGGAGGAGGAGCAGGAGCAGCAGGAGGAGGAGGAGAATCAGGAGGAGAAGCAGGAGAGGACAACGTTGCCAGCGCTGCCAGCGAAACGGGAACACGCCCGGAGACATCCTCCTCATCCTCCTGCCATCCTGCCCCTCTGCCCCCCCCCCCCCCGCTCCTAATGCGCTCCAGGTTTTTGTCGATTAATCCAGGAATTGGGCGTGGATGTGAAAACGCCAAACAATCTGATTCCTCTATTTCGTATCGATTAGAAAAGGGAAGTGACCCCACTTAAATGGCGCTCATTTCGGTAACTTCCCCACAATGGTTCAAACGGTTCAGACGTCCGCAAACAAAAACTCATCGGAGTTCGTCCTTAAATTCAGAATCCAAACCTCATCCTTACCCCCGCCCGTACCCCCCCCCCCCCCCCGTTCCCGCTGCCTATGGCCACGCACCTGCAGGGTGTAGAGGAGCTGCTGGGTCCTTTTGTTGAGCCTCTTCTCCTCCTGCTCCTGGGTCTCAGCTCCCAGGAGCTCCTGAGCACACAGAGGAGCGCACGGGGGGAAGCACACGGGGGGGAGCACACGGGGGGAGCACGCACAAGAACGCAGGGGAGCACATGGGCAGCACGGCGCGGAGCGCGCGGGGGAGCACGTGGCAGAGCTCGTGGAGTACAGGACTCACCACCCCCTCACCCCCTCGCACACCCAGACCCCACGTAACTCACCTCCTCTTCCTCCTCCTCCTGGACCTTCTCCTTGCGCTCCTCCTCCTGAGCCCCCTCCGCGGGGGGCCCCGCCGCCTCCTCTGGAGCCGCAGCAGCATCGCCGGACTCGCCGGGGGCCGGCGGCGGGGGGGCGGCGGCCGTCGCTCCCTCGGCCGCCGCCGACGTCGCCTCATCCAGGGGTGGGACCTCGAGGGGGGCCACCGCGCCTGGTGGCGGCGCCTCCCCCTGCCCCTCCCCCGCATCGATCACGGCCTCTGTGGGCAGCTGCGGATGTGGAGCGAGGTCACCACCACCACCATCATCACCACCGATCATCATCACGATCGTCACCACTGTATTTACACTAAGCAATTATCACAGCAGGCAGGCGGTGGTGAGGAGTTAGCGCGACCAAACATTGCCCAAGCTCTGTGGTCGTGGGAGGAAACCAGACCACCCGGAGAAACCCCACGCGTGCGAGAGGGAAACGCTTGATCCCATGACGATGGAACAGGTGGAGTCCACGTGAATTCTCCACTGCCTTGTCTTTGTGAAGCCACGGCACGGCACCTCGCGGACGCCCACGTGCGCGCCTCTGCTGCCGTGAACCCGCGTCCGTAAAGCGACGCTCTCCGCCACCCACCCAGCCTCCTCACCCGCGACGGGGCCTCGCCCCGCGCCGAGGGCCCGTCCGGGGCCGCAGCCGCCTCCCCGGGGGCCGCCTCCACGGGGGCCGCCTCCGTTGGGGGGGGGGCCCCGTCCGCCTCCGTTGGGGGAGCATCTCCCGGAGGGGGGGCACCATCCCCAAGCGGGGGATCCCCATCCCTCGGGGGGGCCGGCTCCTCGCGAGGCAGAGTCGCCCCGTCCGCCGCGGCCTGGACTGTGAGCGCGACGAGGGGAGGGGGCGCGGGGGCGTTACGGAGAGAGGAGTCAATGCTGGGGCTCAAGGGGTGGCGCTGAAATGGAGAGGCAGTGGTGAGGATGACGTGGAGGAATGGTACAGCTCATTTGGAGGCATGGCGCGACTGGAGTTTTGGGACTGGAGCGGTGGTGGGGTTGCAGCGGTGAAATTGGCGTTGTGTGGATGCCGTGGTGTGCCGTGGCCATGTGTGGTGCTGGATAGGGTACCCGTATGTGATGTGGCCATTTTGGTGCGTGGGTCCCATCTGTGGGGTGGCTGAATTGGGGTGCCCTATCCGTGTGTGGCTGGCATGGTGTGGTGGTGTGGTGGTGGCAGTGTCATGGTGGTGGCAGTGTGACGCTGTGGTGGTGTCGTGATGGCGGTGTGACGGTGTGGTGATGGCGCTGTGGCGGTGTGACGCTGTGGTGGTGTCGTGGTGGCGGTGTGACGGTGTGGTGATGGCGCTGTAGCGGTGTGATGCTGTGGTGGTGTGACGGTGGCTGTGTGGCTGTGTGATGCTGTGGCGGTGTGACGGTGGCGGAGTGGTGGTGTGGTGGTGGCAGCGTGACGCTGTGGTGGTGTCATGGTGGCGGTGTGGAAGTGTGACGCTGTGGCTGTGTGACGCTGTGACGGTGTGGCGGTGTGGCAGTGTGACGCTGTGGCGGTGTGACGGTGTGGCAGTGTGACGCTGTGGTGGTGTGGTGGTGTGACGGTGTGGCAGTGTGATGCTGTGGTGGTGTCGTGGTGGCGGTGTGATGGTGTGGTGGTGCGGTGGTGGCAATGTCACGCTGTGGCTGTGTGACGTTGGCGGTGTGGCCGACCCGTGTGAGGCTTGTCGGGGGCCGGCACATCGGGCAGGTCGCACTCGCGCAGAAAGTCGTGGAGGCTGTCCGCCTCCCCCCCCTTCCACTGCCGCCGGCGTAGCTCCTCGGGGACCACGGGGACCAGGCAGCGCGTGAACAGCTGTGCGCACAGAGCCAAAGGTCACCCATGTAGTATGAACACACCGTTGGGGCAAGTGCTGAGGGGGTGGGTGGCCAGAATCACACCCGGCAGCCTTTGTGCTTCCCGGCGGTGGTGACCTAGGGAAGGGCCAAGGTCACTTTACTGGTGACGGCCGTGAGCGGGAATCGAACTCGGTTCGCCGGGCTTGTAGCGCAGTGAGGTAACCGCTACCACTCTGGCCACATACACTAAATGACTGTGACATCACCTTGGAAATTGTGCCAGGCGAAGCAAACCCTGAGGCCACGGGAAGTGTGCAAGGCTTGCTTGCAGGTCACAGGACAGATCCAGGTGCCATGGGTTAACTGACTGAGATTACTGGCAGATGTACCACCTGCGCTCCCCACTGCGCCAACTTTCCGCGTTTTAGCCACCCAACGCTCTGCTCATTGTTGTGATGGTCGTTCATCCACAATCGATCTTGCAATCCTAGCCCTAATAACTTATGTAACCAGATGAAACTTAAGTGTCTAGCCCCTGACCCCGTATCTAATCCTAACCCAATCTCTAACCGTAACCATTGGGGGGTCTTCTATCTGACCGTGTGACCTCTGCCCCCCCCCTCCCCAGCACAGCACCCGCAGGAGGCGGCTGCTCCAGAGGGGCTGTGCGGGCAGCGAGTACAGCTTGTCCACACCGCCCGTCTCCTTCCATAGCATCAGCTTCTTGGTGGGCGGTGCGAGGTCGAGCGACGTCACGATGTCCGAGTAGTCGCTGAGCTGCGCGCGGATTGTCTTGCTGTCCAGCTCCTTCACGCTGTCCACGATCAGCTTCCTCTTGCGCTTCGCCTTTGTCACGTTCACTGCGCACGCGCTTGCCGTGGGGACGCGGAGAGACGCGCGGAGACAGAGGTGTGAGCACGTGGGTTTGTGGGGGGGGGGGGGGCGTGGACATGCGGAGATGTAGTTATAGGGGGATGTGAGGACAAAGGGACACGGTGACACGGAGACACGGGGAGAACGGGCGTAAAGACTCATCGGGATGTGTGTCGGGCTGCGTGGCAGAATGTGTGTCGGGCTGCGTGTCGGGCTGTGTAGCAGGCTGTGTGTCGGGGTAAGGCTGTAGGGGTGAGCACCGTCACCCGTCACGTCGATGGGCTCCAGGGCGAAGGCGTCCGTCTCGCTCGCATCCAGCGCCGTTTGCTGAGCGGCGACCGGCAGCAGTGGCTCCACGTCCCCCATGGAACCCGGACTGTCAGGGGGCCCGCCGGCTGGACACAACCACAACCACCACCACCACCACCACAACTAAACACACACAACATCTCAATTCACAACCACCACCACCACAACTAAACACACACAACATCTCAATTCACAACCACCACCACCACCACAAGTAAAGCACACTTTACACTACAACTAAATACACACGAATTGTAATGCGCACATATTCCTGGAATTGGACGCAATGTTCGACCGAGAACTCGGAGGCGCGGAGCTCAAAGTCCCTCAAGGGGCAGCCTGGACGGGCGGGGGGCCGGGTGGCCGGCGGGCTGGGTGGGTGGGTGATCGTGGAGTGGGAGAAAGTTCCCGATGATCGGTCCAGCTATGGTCAAACGCCGTTCGGCCAGGACGGTCCTGATTCTGGGGACAATCAGCAGATTGTTGGACGTACTCCGTAAGACTAAACACACAACAACCACACAATAACCACAGGTAACACACAGGTGAACGAGTGCTTTCGGTGGCTGCCTCTAGTCTCTGGAACCATATTGACACAAAACTTGGTCTGCAGTCATTGCCGTCACTCCACTACTTTCAAGTATATCCCTGCCTAGCTGCCAATGCACGCAGAGTTCGACGCGGTAGAAATATTATTTGCCTGTGAGCGACCACTTTTTGCGTGTTTTGTTAATACTACGTTTTTTTATGGATGCTGTGGTTTTTTATTTTCCCCTATAATGCCATCGTGTTTAAGGCTATATCTGCATTATAATTATTATGGCAAATTTAAATTTGTATTTTTTTTAGATACAGCGTTGTATTTTATGATAATCTATATTTAATTGAAAAAAAAATTTTAGATTTTTTTTTGCGATTATGACCTGCTAGATATTGTTTTATGTAGCTTATCTGTTATTGTAGCCTATTTATTTCTTTATTTCCCTGACTTGTTGCGTTTGTCGGAGAAGTGGCGGTGTTGTCTTTGTTGATGAAACGCGATTCCAAGAGCTGCTTGGCTCATAGGGTACTTGAATTAAACTGAACTGAACACACAGGTAACACACACAAAGGTAAAACACGAAACAGACACCTGTTATCCACGTGTCTGTTTAGTGACCTTGCATAAATGCTAGGTCAAGGTGAAGTTCAGATTGGGTCAGAGTTCATTCTGAGGTCATATAAACCAGGCTTGGGGTTGGGTTAAGGGTCAAAGCTGGAGTCAGCACGAGGCCAGTAGTTGGGGCTAGGCTTATTGTAGCACCAGGGTCACAGTCAGGGTCATATTGGAGGTTGGGAACATTACTCGTCAGGTCAAATCAGAGGTCAAGTTGGAGTTGAGTCAAGGTCACGTTGGGGTCGGGGTCATGGTTGGGGTCTCACGGGATCCGTCGCTCGAGATGTCCTCGTGGCCGGGGTCCTCGGGCAGATCCACGTCCCCATCGGGGAGAGCCGGCGGGTCGTCGAAAATCCCACCCCCGTCCCCACGCAGAAGATTATCGTCTGCGGCAGGGACAGCAGCAGCACGGACAGCAGCAAAGACAGCATCACCATCAGCAGCAGTAGCAACAGCATCATCATCATCATCATCACCACCACCTGCATATTTTCCAGCAGCAGAAAGGGCTCAGTGTGGGTGGTTGTCATTCGGGGTTATGTGAGGGTCAGATTTGGGGATGCGCTTGGGCCGGTGGTTAGGGGCCAGTGACGGGGTTGAGATTGTGTGTAACGGTGAGGTGATAGCGGTCAGCAAGGGGGCTTTCGGCTGTGTGGGGGTCGAGAGTTATCGTCAGAGTGCAGGGGTTCACACACAACATCAACACACTGTGGGCTAACATAGCGGCGTCTTTACGCTACCGCGGTGTAGCCACGTTTACATAACAGAGAGGGTCACAAAGTGAGTCTGTGGGTCACTATGTGAGCCTGTGAGTCTCCAAGTAAGTCTATGGGTCTCTCCAGACTACGGGGGCAGCGGGGCAGGGGCTGGAACTGGAGTGAGCATCTGGCTCCGGGTGGGGGGCGCACCCAGGATTCCCCCGCTGCCTCCGCCCTCCCCGAGCGAATCGTCTCGGGGGGGCCCCTCGAACGAGGGGGCCCCCTCCGCCCGCGCCGGGGGCTCGGCCCCCCGCCCCGGGGACCCCGTCCCCCGCTCGGGGTCCAGCAGGAAGTCCGCGCTCGCCGACAGGATGTCCACCTCGAAGGCGGCACCCCCCTCGCGCATCATCTCCCGCTCGTCCACTCCAAAGTCTCCTGCACGGCACATGCACAAAGACAAAGGTCCTCCGTAAAACCTATGCGGGCTCTCGGGGCAAGTGCTGTTGGCTGGCATGGCGCGCCAGAGGGGCGGCGTGACAAGCACCACACCCGGCCGCCTTTGTCTCCCCAGGTCCGATGTTTACGAGTCAAGCAAATGAAGTCCCAATACCAGTTCAGATATTAGTTACTGACTATGGCCGTGAGCAGGAGTTGAACTCTGGCCACGGGGTTCGTAGCACGGCGTGCTGACCGCCTGTGCACGCTCATGCTACTACATGTGTGTGAATACACGCAGACGAGACACTTGAGGCTGAGTCGACGTAGGAAAGGCCCAATAACAGTTCAGAGTATCGTCAACGTTGTTAGTTTTGAGCGGGAATAAAAGGTGGGTCGCCAGGTTCATAGCGCAGCGCAGCGCACTAACCACTACAATCCCGCCCCCATACATGCACACGTGTACACACGCACACTCGTGTGCACAAGCGCTATGAGCACACACAGAACATGCGTATGGAGACAGGGAGACACGCAGAGACACGAGAGTCACAGACCGAAGCCGTCGTCCTGGATGATGGTGATGTTGCCGACCTCCTCGCGCATCGTGATCTCCTCCGCCCGACTCTGGTTCATTGTGAACTGGTGCGCGATGTCCAAGTCCCTGCACACGGGACATGGAATGCGCGACATGGGACACGGGATGCACCTCACGGGACACGCGCTACTACGGGATGGGGGACACGTGACAGGGGACACGGGACACGCGATACGGGGCGCGAGGGAAGCTGCCATCGTGGAGTGGTGGTTACTGCACTGGACTTGTAATCCACAGATCGCCTGCTTGATTCCATGTTCCAGCGCGGTAGTGAAGCAATGTGGCAAGTTTATCAATGCAGTCGACTCATGGATACTCTCACAATGGAATCGGTTGCCGGTTCCTGACTTCTGGAATCATTAACCGGCTGAGAAAATGTTTACCGGTTACCGATGAACAATGCCAGACGAGACACACGACAAGTCTGGGCTCGGCTCGGTGGAGGCACGGAGGCGGGCGGACGGTCGACCCTGCTCCTTTCAATGCCCCCTGCACCTCACTGTGGTCGGCCCGCAGCCCCGCGACCCGGTGACCCTGTGACCCCATGCGTTACCCCAGGTCGGGGAGTGGCTGGTCGAAGTCGTGGAACTCCTCGGGGAGAGTAATGGCGTTGTAGGCAGCCTCCCTGTTCTCCTCCGGCAGGTCGACCACTCCTGCGGCACGCACCACCACGCACCACCACATTGTCCAACGCGCCACCCCCATCATTCACCATCGGTAGCATGCACCACCACATCCAGTGGAACTGAGCGGACCCCAATGCACAACAGGAAACCCCAGTGATCCCAGGAACCCGCAGGGGACCCCGAGGAGACGCCAGCGGACCCCGCCTGGACATGAGGCCCCCACCCCTGGTGAGGACACCTGGTCTGAAGGCCATCTTGATCTTGAGGAAGGCCTCGTTGCAGTCGGCCAACAGATACTTGGCCTTGCGGCTGTAGATCCTCACGACGCCCAGCAAGAGGTGCCCCGAGGTACGGAGCGCCATCTTCACCTGACGCCAGCCACGACCACCACCACCAAAAGACAAAGATCCCCCGTGTAGCCTTAAGAGACAGTTGGGGAAAGTGCTGTTAGCGAGCACCTATGAAGGCCGGCACGGCACACGAGGGGGTAGGTGGCCAGCACCGTGCCCGGTCGCCTTTGTCTCCCTAGTGGTGATGTTTACACACCGCACCATGTACTCATTTGAGGCGGGATCGACCTAGGGGAGGCCCAGGACCGGTTCAGATAATCGTCACCGGTGTCGATCGTGAGCGGGCATCGAACTCGGATTGCCGGATTCGTAGCGCAGTCCGGGAATTGGCGTCTTTGTCGTTGAGTTGTACCCGGACCTGCCCCAGTGCTCCTGTGTCGACTGCTGGACCGTTTTGATATCGACCTCGTGCTGGTCTCTCGTGGGAAAGGTGGCAAGCCCACTCACCCGTAGCCCCCGCCCTGCTTGCATCCACATACAGATCCAAACACACACTACACACACACACTACACACACACTACACACACTACACACACACACTACGCACACACACTACACACCACACACACACTACACACACACACACTACACACGCTACACACACACTACACACACTACACACACACTACACACACACTACACACACTATACACACTATACACACACTACACACACACACTACACACACTACACACACACACTACACACACTACACACACGCTACACACACACACTACACACGCTACGCGCGCACCTTGGGGGAGATGATGCTCTCGATGCTGCTCTCAAGGTTGCACTCGAACACGTGCGCCTTGGTCAGCTTCTTGTCCCAGTGAGCGGCGAGCCAGATCTTGGCCAGGGGCCCGCGCTTACTCAGCACAAAGTGCGCGTAGAACATCTCTGCACACACACAGCACGCCATGCATAGCACACACAGCACGCCATGCATAGCACGCCATGCACGCCACACACAGCACACCATGCATAGCACACATAGCACGCCATGCACATAATACGCAGCACGTCATGCATAGCACGCATAGCACGCCATGCATAGCATACCATGCAGAGTACACATAGCACACCATAACACACCAAGCGGGGCAGACATAGCACACTGTGAATATCACACCATACACAGCATATCATTAATAGCAGACATAGCACAACCATGCATAGCACACCATTCAGAGCAGACGTTGCACACCACGCACGGCACACACAGCAAACCATGCACAGCAGACAACACACGCAGCACACCTCGCACGGCACAATATGCACAGAATACCATGCAAAGAACATCATGCATCGCACACACAGCAGCATGCCACCAACACCATCAGTGCGTGCGTGACACTCATTGACACATGCGCGGACACAGATGAGGCACGCACACAGACACGAGGCATCACCACACATACACCGTCACAGAGACCCACATGGCTACATACTGGCACACGCAGACTGACACGCACAGACACCGTTACACGCACTGGTCCCGGGCCCCTCGACTCTCCCTCCTACCACCGCCCGCGTCCCACATTTGGGACCTTGGTGCGGAGCCCCAGGAGGGAGAGGGGTCGGGGTCGGGCCCCGGGTCCCTCGCCACAGCTCAGCCCCACGGGCACCGCGACGCGGCTATGAAGACACCGGCCCAGGGCTCCAGAGCCCCGGGGTGCCCGTGCCTCCCATCCACCCCACGGCCCCCCGTGGGGTCCCGCACACTCACTCGCCTCCCTCGGGCCCCGCAGCCCCGAGCCGCGGCCCCGGACCCCGCACGGAGAGAAGCCTGGAGCCTGGAGCCGCGCGGAGTGCGCGATCACGGCCAGCAGGCGGCGCTGTGGGCCACGGCGCCGTCTCCTTCGGGACCCCCATCTCAGGCAGACACGACGTCTCCTCGTGGGGCAGTGGCTGTCTCAGAGAATCATCCGTGCCCTCTCGCGCCCAGCGTCTCCTTTAGGGTACCACTGTGTCTCCTGGCGTCACGGTGTCTGCGTAGCGCCACCATGATGTCCAGTATCACAGCAGCAGGGCCCTGCGTCTAACTCAGCACGTCTCATGCAGCACCGCAGGAGGTGTCCTACAGGGGCCCCTTGTTGATGTTGCCGGTGGCTGCACCAGTGGCTTATAAGTTACGACCGTATACATGCAATGGAGATCTGGATTTGAAATCGGTATTAATTGGAGATTCGTGATAATTGCTTGGTATATACATGAATGCATTAGTTATCAGTCAGAAATCAGTTTCACTTGGTGATCAATATCCGTGATCGATAGTGATACTAATCCCAGCACCACGGACAGCGACACATTCAGAACCATGGACAGCTCCAGGGCCTGGACATGGCCAGGTGATGGCGGTTACAACAATAGATTCGTGAATCCATGTGCAGATCGTTTAATGTCACCTCGAATACGTGGGTTTTCTCCGGGTGCATAGATTTCCTCCCACATCCAAACATCTATGGAAATAGCCAAAGATCCCCATATAGGACCCTCATATTAAGAAAAACATTGAGACCTGGTTAGGCTTTGCTGGACAAAGGGCATTGCTGGACAAAGGGCATTGCTATTCAGGACCATGGACAGCTGCTGGGCTGTGGCAGTCAAGTGACCCCGTGTCTCGCGGGTTCTTGGCTGCAGATGGGTAGATAGCTGCTACTGCTGCATGTGCCCAGCCCTCGTCAATCCACTGCTGGATGAGGGCCTCTCTCCACCGTGCAGGTCACCAGTCACCCTGCTCGTCAGTGGGCTGGTAGCATATTGTACAACAAAATGGATATTTCTGCACCTCCACAGAACCACTCTTGGTGGCTCCCCTGAGAGGCAGAGCGAGGCGCCCACAGCTCTCACCTTCTTTGATTTTATTTCTTTGAAAAATATCGACGTTAAAATCATGTGTGCGCACACAGCGACATTCTGCTGAAGCACAGGCGAGCCACTCGTAGGGGACACGGGGGTAAATTGTTTCGAGGGATGAGACAGGGGAACGTGGGAAGAGAGACGAGAACGTAGAGAGATAGGTGGACAGGGGCCATGGGTCAGGGAGAGAAGGGGTCATGAGTCAGAGACACAGTAGGAGATGGGGACACACAGATGTGGAGACCATGGGTCAAAAGAACAAGGGGAAACAGGAGGGTCTGGGTGAGACAGAAACTGGCTTGGCAGGTACACCAGGGGAAATGCCTTACCCAGGTTGTGGTGTAAAACCGGTCACGCAGCCCATCAGCTTGGCCTCACATCTGCACGCTTCTTTTCCACTGTACAACCAAATTACGTCGGGGCTGTGCCGAGCCAGCATTAGATGGCAGCTTTTTCCACTGGAGACCCAGATCCGTGCCGCTGACATCGCATACAATGAACGTGTTAGTTACTGCCCAACCCATACGTCGAGGATGATTAAATCCATCCGTGACTTCCGCTTGACCCCGAGCCAGACGTCTGAAATGAGGTCAAAGTTTTACTGCATGGTTCCAGCTCATCTTGGCAATTTGTGGAAACCACCCATACCGAGAGGGCCCTGCGATGGCATGGCCCAGGTGTGCCAGTGGAGAATAGGTCATAGAGTCGCGAACGGGGGTAGCCGACGCCGTGGACCACGATTCTCGTGTTGGGTGCGGTTGTGAAACAGCACAGCCATCAGAGCAATACACGCAGCTGCCTTATGTCTTTAAGATCAACTTAAACTCCACAGCATTGCACAGCCACGAACGCGATGGGTGGCAGTTATAAAGGTCACGACTGGGGTTACGACTGTGTTAAGGGTCTCAGGTCAGGGTCAACACGAACCTCAGCCAAGCGCAACACCTGCCCTACACCCAACACTCACTGTACATCCCAACCACCATACCCACGCTCAGCAGTAAAAGAGAACACCCAACTAAACATACATCCCGACTGCACCCAATCTCAATCCACCACCCAAGATTTCCAAACTGAACAAACAGCCCAATACCTCAAATGAACCTCATGGCGGTACCCAAGAACCCGGGGTACCTTAGTACCCCGGCTCTCGCATAATGTCCGTGATGCAGTAATTTTTACTCTGTTGATGGTCAGCGATGCGGCAATCGACTCATCTCGACGAGCTGGACACGATGCACCACTATGGTGCGTACGAGCGTTCAGGGTTTCAGCACAATCGTCCTCGCTGCGTTTCGACATAGCGAAGTAGCACTGATTTCGGATTGATTGGTACCCCAGTCGCGGAGTTAAATACACCCCTGGAAATAAAGTGCCCCAGAAATAAAATATTTAATTGCCTCGGCCATTTTGTATTATTGGGTACCGCCATAAGGATCAAATGCGAACCAACCCCCCAAACTAAACCCACTGCCAAAGAACTCCCAGACAAAGTCGAACACCCATCCAGACACAACGCCCCAACTTGGATCGACACCCAGCCTCCATCCAGCACCATTGGTGTCGCTATGGAGTGCAGGTGGTGCAACCGCCCCGGGGCCCACAGGCTGAAGGGCTCAGACAAATGGCTATGAACAGGGGTGGGGGGGATTGGACAGGGGTCCTGATTTTATTCCTTACACCAAGGCCCATGCCACCCATGCTATGTTACTGCTCAATATCGCCCACACTATACGCTGTATCACAAGACCATGACGCAGCCAACAGTCAAACTAAATCCACTATTTCTAGACCAATACCCAGAACACCCAAATTATTACCAGATGCAATGGGATCAACACCGAACCTATACCCAGCGTAGCACCCAAACTCTATACTCACTGCCCTGAGTCCCAGCCTACACCCAACACAATCATATTTCCAGCTCATCCAACATCAATCCAGAAAGCCAACCCTAAACCCAGCACCCTGCCACGCTACAACTACCAAGCAGCCATTAGTGCAGCATCGTAACGAGCTGGGCGATTGGCGTGGGAATGGATCAGATGGATGGGATGGGAAGTCATAGACCCTCAATGAGTGCTTCACAGCAACAATAAACATGACACTAAAAGTTACAGCTGCAACTCTACACCCGGCAGGATGTGATTGTGTGAAGTCCTCTCTTTAATAAGAATAGAAGTCAAACACATACTAAACAAGAGCACTGCGCTCCCCCCAACAATAAATACTCGCTCTCCGCTGAGGGTCAGCGCCGCCGCCACCACCTGCCACCACCGCTCCTGTTGGTGTCGGAGCTCAAGTCGACACACTATTCACGACAGTTCTTCCGGTCCCGGCGTTCGCTCCCTCTCGCTGGTGCTGCTGCTGGTCCCATGGCGTCAGCGGCGCCGTTAGGGCTGGGGTGGTGCGAGTGGACCCGGTAACGCTACGGCCATTGCCGCATCACCGCCATCATTCTTCCCACACTTTCTGAATTTCGATGCTCGTCTTACGAGTCTGTAAAAAGTCCTGGACGTTTCAAGTTTCTGCTGCCTGGGTCCCCTTCCCCATTGATCTGTGGGGTTGGAGGCGACCGCTCCGTGCCAGGGGTGGGGGTGGGGTAGACCAGGCGTCTTCATTACGGAAGGGGGCTCCACTCCGCAACATGGCACGGGCGCGTAGCGAAGTTTGACTTGGGCGTGTGCGTGCCACACGAGTTGTGTGTGATATGGGTGTGTATGGATGACATGCGATGTGTGTATCGAGGTCTGTGCACATCGAGGCAATGTATATACAGATGTGTGTGTGTAGCCAACTGTGCCCAGTGGGCACAGCAGGGAGAACAGGAGGTGGAACTACCAGTCATCTCAGTTAACCCATAACACCTGGGTCTACCCTGTGGCCTTCTGCCAGTGGTCCTTCGACACTTCATCTGGCCTTATAGTGCACTTAGCCTGGCACATGCGCTGTGGTGATATCGCCAGAGAATGCCATTTGTTGTTGGTGCACCAGTCATGGTTAACATTCTTGGTGAATGATGTCTGTTACTGGTCCTGGGCCTCCACTAGGTTGACTCAGCCTTAAATGAGTAATAGGTGTGGAGTTAAATATCAGCACTGGGGAGACATATATAGTTGGATCTGCTGCTTGCTACACCACCCTCTCATGCACTGCACCGGTCTTAATGCGTGCTGGCTAACAGGACTTGCGTGCGAGTACAGGTCTGCGCATGCAGGGGCAGTGCGTGTGTACAGATGTGCGGGTGCAAAATCCGGTGTGTGCAGAGGTGTGTGTACAGGTGTGATGACAGGCAGGTGTGAGCACAGGTGGGTGTGCGTACGTGTAGAGGTCTGCGCATGGCAGCAGTGGCGGTGTGGCCAGGGTGGTCTAGCTCTGTGTGATCTGCAGCGACTGCAGCATGTCCTCCACCATCTTGACGGAGCCCTTGCCGTCCTTCTGTGCCGAACCCACAAGCTGCGTGCGGCAAAACGGCACAAACGTGTGAAGACACGGCACCAGAGACAACACCACAGCCATCAAACTGGGGTGGGCCGTGCGACCCAGAAGCCAGAGCGCCAAGCCAGCACCGCTGAAATCCTGCGTCTACATCCAGGTGTTAACCACTGCCTCGGATTAAATTGGGTTCTCGAGTATAAAGAGTTGAATGTCTCAGCCAGGTTACAAATTACAGCAGAAAAAAAACCCTGCAAATTAAACTAGGTTCTGAAATGGAGATGGGCCGTATCAAAATTAAATGTAATTCATGATCTATCACAATTATAATTGGTATATAATTTACACACCTCAAAGAATTGTATCCACGTGACATTTCCTAAAGTAATTTGAATTTTCAGGGTAAACATAGATACTCAACGAAATAAGGATAACTGAGGAAGATGATTTGATTGCAACACCTCGAAATCTCCCACCAATCCCAATAGCACCACTCATTCAACCTCCTAACTTTCTCCTGATACAAGCTTCCGCTTTCATTCTTTGTTCCTGTGTAAGATATGGGAGCCATTGCTTTCACAATATTCAATCACCCACTGACAAGTCACAGGGTCATTAGAAAGTAGTGGGGCATCTAAAAATAGACCATGCTGTACTCTGTCGATCTTCGCTTGATCTGAGCCCAGCGCTGCGGAGAGCGTCACCTGGTAGGCCCTGGAGATTTGCGAGGCGGCCCACGACGCATACTTGAGGTTGTCCTTCTTGTTCTTGGTGTTCGTCTTGGGGTTGGAGGCGACATGCACGGAGGACTGGGGAGAGTGGCGGAGGATATACGCGGGGTCAGACAATGTCCCCTCGCCCTGGGTCACAGCTCACCACAAGGCACACATTGCACGACAAGGCCGACAGCTCACCATCAAGTTCGTTGAACACCGGTTTCAAACAGCTCATTACTAACCACGCAGCTTAAGACAGCACACTGCACATCACACAGCTCACCGTATAGTTGACAGCTCACCAAACCACATAGCTTTCATATCTCACCACACAGCTAACAGCTAGACGTACAGCTCACATTTCACCGCACCAAACAAGAGCGCTGCTCAGATTGCCAAACAGCATACGCTCACGTGATCTCAAATCAAAGCTCTCACCTCACCACGTCTCAGTGCACTCCTCACTTGTAGCATTACTCACTGCGTAGCTCACATCTGTCACCACAACCCACCGCACACAGCGGCCATATATATGGCAGATGCTGAGTGGGCACGGCTGCCCGGCATCTCCCAGTGCTGCCCTCACCATGTAGAGGCCGAACAGGGCGCGCATGTTGATGTTGTTGAGCTTGAGTGCCTGAGCAAAGTACTTCCTGGCCACCTCCATGTTGTCCAGACCTCCCTGTGTGTACTTCACCTGCAAGCAGCGCATGCAGAAGCAGCAGGGTTAGGTGAGCAGCCAATGGCTGCGTCGACCACCGCATCGGCGACACGGCCCAGTGGTGGCGCATTCATCATTTGCTGCAGAGGTTGGTGGTTTAAATCTGGCAGGCACACCCTGGGCAATACTGCGGACGTTTTCACCATAAAACTCTACCCGCCGTCGACTTCACGGTGGCCATTACAGATCCCGTGATGTCATTAGAAGAAGAGAAGGAACATTGCGGATGCACACATTGCAACCCAATTGTTGCCAATTTGAAAAATAGCAAATTGCACCGCAAAGTACTTCATTGGTAAACACATGGAAATTGTCACTAGCACAATCAAAGTTGTAATCGATAACAGTCGACACGTTCATAGAATAGAGCAAGGTTATGAGAGCCTGGAAAGAGAAACGATGGGAGAGAATTCCAAAGTGGAGCAGTGCGAAGGAAGAAGCAGAAGCAAAACGTCCTGTGACCTGCAGTGCAGGGGTTGAACACAGTGTGCAGGATGACACGAAACAGTCAGTCCGGTAGACCAAGTCCTCAACATGGGAGGAGGAATCCAGGAGTGAAGTTCGTGGGAGCAGTAACAATAAGGTGCCTAACCGCCAGTGAGCAAGTGCATTTTGTAGGCCACGGGGGCAGGCCTGGGGGCACCAACCTCTGCATATTTCTGGCAGAACAGGTGATTGTGGGGGTTGAAAAGGATGAGCTCCTCCAGGCAGAAGGCCGCCTTGCTGTACCTGCACCAAAGACAAAGATCGTCCATGTAGCCTACACGGACTGTTGGGGTGAGTGCTTTTAGCGAGCACCTTTATAGATCGGGACGGCACATGAAGGGGGTGGGTGGCCAACAACTACGTCCGTCTGCCTTCACCTCTCGAGTGCTGATGTTTACACACCGCAACAGGTATTCATTTATGGCCGAGTTGACCTAAAGGAGGTCCAGAACCGATTCAAATATTCGCAATTGTTGGTCGAGTGGACATCGAACTTAATTACCACACAACCACGCTAACAACAGCCACCATTTGCTACTAAGTGGAGGTTGCATCACCATGACGCTTCTGCCAGGCTCGGTGCACTTGAAGGCCACAAAGTGTCGAAGACTTGCTGGCAGGGGGCCATGGGGCAGACCTCGGTGTTACAGGTTAACTATCTCAAGAGGACTGGCAGATGTACCACCTGTGCTCCCCAATGTCTCAACTCCACAACTGCTCCAGTGGTCTCAACTTACGACATACAAGCACATTGCAAGTGGCCTACAGGTGATGAGTGTGTGAAGGGACTCACTCAAGCTCGGACACGTAGAGGTCTGCCAGCTCCTGCCACGCCTCCTGGTCAGCAACGAATCTGCGAAGGCCGGCGAGAGTACGGATCACAGGCGGCACAGACTCATGTGGGCACTGCAATGGTTTCTGACATATTTCAGGCACCTTAATGAGGTGCATAATCGTTAATATAATCGTGAAGCGGCATGTAAACTTGAGCAGAGTATGTGGACCGATTAGGACTGCAATTCATATAGACGTCATCTGTCCACCTTTGTTACGGGAGAAATGGTCGTTTAATACCATGGTGTCGGACGTGCTCATCCACACCAGGATGGTGGCGATTGTGCATCCAATTTTGTGTACATGTCAAACTATCAACTGATTGCACGAGACTTATTTTGTAGAACTGTACATAAACACCTTTGACCAAATCACTTGGAATGCCTCCAATCTTATCAGATGGATGTCTGGATGTTGAACTTCTTCCCCACCATTCTTAGCCAACCATGATAATCAGCTGATGAGCGATCACCATTTACAACGGCTTTTGTGGGCGGCTGCACTTCTATGCTCACGCATCTACGATCCCCACCTGTACCAACCTGCACTCACCAGTGTGGAGCAGAATGGTCAAACCCTGATCACCCGCACAGCACCCAGAGGCACTCATCCCAGCAGTGGACTAACAAAAGGGCTGTGCATGCCCACAGAATGATGCGCCATGTGTGATCATTACAATGCTTTTCAACTGGTCGCTGTGAAGTCGCATCAGTTGTGGTAGTGCCCAAGCGTATCTGTGACTGGGGGGAGGTAGATGTTGCGTGCACCACCGTGGAAAATAACACGAGGGCCTCTTGCCCTACCCTGCCCCCCAGTGTCCCCCACCCCCCTGCCGGTATACTCACAGCTTGAGGTACTCGTTGAGCTCTTTGACGGCCTCCGCCACCTTTCCCTGGGCCTTGAGGATTGCGATCTTGCGTTTTCTCGCTGCCTGCAGCACAAGAATCACGAGTCCCCACGTCACTCGCCACGCACGGACCAGCGTCGCAAAAACAACTGGGTCAATACTCACCGCCACCTAGGCCTGGTCCTCACCACCATTGAGGCTTAGTTCTCACCACCAAAATTGCGGACGTGTTTTTCATACGAGGTTTTGCAGTTTCGCGATATTGCGGCGACCGTACCCAGCACCGCCAAAGCGGCAGGTTCTGTGCCGAGGTGCACAGCTCACAGCACCCTGCGAATTGCACGTCTGTCCATCCGCATGCACTCACGCGCGCACGTACTCACTCACCGTGTTAGCGTCGTCTTCCTGGATGATCTCGTCATAGAGTTTGTTGGCCTCATCATACCTCACGAAACAAACACGGATTATCACAGAGCATTCTTGCAATAGCAGCAGCAGTAGCAGCAGTAGCAGCAGTAGCAGCAGCACATGCCACAACACCCACACTTGGTGCACAGCAATCCGTCATGGGCATTGCCAAAGAAAATTAAACAAAGGTGCAAAAGTGCGTAAAGAAGCGTGGAGAGCTACATTCTTGAAATGACACTGCGACAGGAAAAGGAGCAAATGCATTAGAGGAGACATCAAAGTGAAAGGCGTCGTATTGACTGTTCAAAATGAGTACGTGGGCTTGGGCAGGTCCTTTGAAGGGACGATAGCTGGTGGTCGGGTCTAACACTGGGTTGGCAGCCCAAGAAGGGAGCTCGGCTGTGGGTGTGTCCACCATGGAAATGAAGCAATGAAATTGACTCGGCTGCAGGTACTAAATGTACTGTTGCATCACAGGGCCGTGATAGACGGTGGTGGCTTGGGGAGATATTCACGCCGCAGAGCATTGGCCGTGGCTGAATATGATGATCAGGGCAGACTCACGGAGAGAGCAACACTTACTTCTCCTGGAACTCATACTTCATGCCCTCAAGCCTCCTCACACGGTGGCTGCCAGGAAACTGCCTCCGCAGCTGTTTCAGGCAGTGCTGTAACACAGCACAGCACATAGTGGTCTACAGCAGCACAGATGCAGAACACAGCACACAGTGGCCTACAGCAACACAGATACACAACACAGCACACACACAGTGGTCTACAGCAGCACAGATGCACAACACAGCACACGCACAGTGGCCTACAGCAGCACAGATGCACAACACAGCACACACACAGTGGTCTACAGCAGCACAGATGCACAACACAGCACACACACAGTGGCCTACAGCAACACAGATGCACAACACAGCACAGCACACAGTGGTCTACAGCAGCACAGATGCACAACACAGCACACACACAGTGGTCTACAGCAGCACAGATGCACAACACAGCACACACACAGTGGTCTACAGCAGCACAGATGCACAACACAGCACACACACAGTGGTCTACAGCAACACAGATGCACAACACAGTACACACACAGTGGCCTACAGCAGCACAGATACACAACACAGCACACACACAGTGGTGTACAGCAGCACAGATGCACAACACAGCACACACACAGTGGCCTACAGCAGCACAGATGCACAACACAGCACACACACAGTGGCCTACAGCAGCACAGATGCACAACACAGCACACACACAGTGGTCTACAGCAGCACAGATGCACAACACAGCACACACACAGTGGCCTACAGCAGCACAGATGCAGAACACAGCACACAGTGGCCTACAGCAACACAGATGCACAACACAGCACACACACAGTGGCCTACAGCAGCACAGATGCACAACACAGCACACACACAGTGGTCTACAGCAGCACAGATGCACACCACAGCACACACACAGTGGTCTACAGCAACACAGATGCACAACACAGCACACACACAGTGGTCGACAGCAACACAGATGCACAACACAGCACACACACACAGTGGCCTACAGCAGCACAGATGCACAACACAGCACACACACAGTGGTCTACAGCAACACAGATGCACAACACAGCACCACACCCAGTGGTCTACAGCAGCACAGATGCACAACACAGCACACACACAGTGGTCTACACCAACACAGATGCACAACACAGCACACATACAGTGGTCTACACCAACACAGATGCACAACACAGCACACACACAGTGGCCTACAGCAACACAGATGCACAACACAGCACACACACAGTGGTCGACAGCAACACAGATGCACAACACAGCACACACACAGTGGCCTACAGCAACACAGATGCACAACACAGCACACATACAGTGGTCGACAGCAACACAGATGCACAACACAGCACACACACAGTGGCCTACAGCAGCACAGATGCACAACACAGCACACACACAGTGGTCTACAGCAACACAGATGCACAACACAGCACTACACCCAGTGGTCTACAGCAGCACAGATGCACAACACAGCACACACACAGTGGTCTACACCAACACAGATGCACAACACAGGACACACACAGTGGCCTACAGCAACACAGATGCACAACACAGCACACACAGAGTGGTCTACAGCAGCACAGATGCACAACACAGCACACACACAGTGGTCTACAGCAGCACAGATGCACAACACAGCACCACACCCAGTGGTCTACAGTAGCACAGATGCACAACACAGCACACACACAGTGGTCTACACCAACACAGATGCACAACACAGCACACACACAGTGGTCTACAGCAGCACAGATGCACAACACAGCACACACAGAGTGGTCTACAGTAGCACAGATGCACAACACAGCACACACACAGTGGTGTACAGCAGCAGATGCACAACACAGCACACACACAGTGGTCTACAGCAGCACAGATGCACAACACAGCACCACACCCAGTGGTCTACAGCAGCACAGATGCACAGCACAGCACACACAGTGGCCTACAGTGGGACAGGCACACAATCGTGAACCAGGTCGCAGTCAGCTGTGGCGTCTGGCTTCACGCTTGGCGTGAGCAGTGACTGTGCGTGCAACAAGCCGGGCGGCACTTACGACTGCGAGGTCGAGGCGTGAGCAGTCCAGCGCTGCAATGCACACCTGCTCGTAAACGATCCAAACTGCGGGTTGACACGAGGCGCAGGACACGCGTTAATTACCGCAGCATTGCTTAGGAGGATGCATCCGTCGTGACTTTCTTGCCAACCGACATGCATTGTTACGTATGTTGGTGGTCATGCTCTACTAGTGGTAGTGCTATGCTGGTGGTAGTGCTATGCTGGTGGTTGTGGTATTCTGGTAGTTGTGGTATACTGTTAGTCGTGGTATTCTGGTGGTATTGCTCTACTGGTGGTAGTGCTATGCTATTGCCATGCTGGTGGTGGTTAGTAGTAGCTAAAATGAAGGAATACGCCCGAAATGATATCAGCCGCAAAAATGGAATCTGCTCATGTGCACGTGTTAGATGGATTGTTACCCGCAGGACCATGCGATGTTGACGGTTTAGGAAAGCCTTCATCAAGCAGTGGATAGAACAAGTTTGATGATGCTAAGAAGGTGGTCATGCTAGCATTACAGTAGTGCTATATTGGTGGTAGTAGTAGTAATAGAATGTGGTAGTAGTAGTGATATCGATGGTAGGAGTCGTCAGATCAGGTGGTGGCTAGACTGATGGTAGTGGCAGGTTCAGGAGGTGCCCTCACTGTCATCGCCAAGCCGGGACGCATGTTCATTAATGATCTCCTCTCCGACCTCCAGGATCTGCTCACTGTTTCGACAGTTCTCCTCCCTCCATTTCCGAAGCTTGTCCTTCATCTCTGCAAAGAGACGATGATTCGGTCAAGGGAGGAGCATGCAGCAATCACGGACGATGGCACCCTAAAGCAGTACGCTCTAGAAGGCAGCTCTTGGGTTGGCCGGGTGGCTCACAGATCTGAGCATTGCGCCGGCAAAACTCATATCACGACATGCACCTGAGGTTAAAATGGGTTCTTAAATATAGCGAGTGGATGGTCACAGTTACCAATGACCACATTGAAAACTCATTGCATGGAATTTGGCCCCGCACTTAATTTGGACGAATTCCAGATCTGAGAATTAAAAATGATCGTTTTGACTCTGATGCGACTAACATCACTCTTCGTGTCAGAGCGGGCGAGAGGGTGCTGCTCTCTACTACTGTGTGACCAGAGTCTGTGGACCCCTGTTTGATACAAAGCATCCTCTGCTCGTGTCCGATGCCCAGATCCTTCCCCAACTCAAGAGTCCAATTGAGGCCGACCCCTCGGTCACGCCGCTCGGGCTGCGCCCTGCCCGCTGCGCGTGACCTCGCGACCTCAGCCGAAGATCTGGGACCCACAGGGCCCATCGGGGCCCACTCAATGTGGTCACAGTACCGGGGGGTGGGGGGGCCTGTGTGGAGCACACCACGCCGGGAGGCCGACTCGGGGACCCCGCAGCTCCTCGTCTCCCCGCGGCCCAGCCCCGGGTCCTCGGCCACCGCGAGGCTTCCAGGGTGGCCGGGCAGCTGCAGGATCCCCGAGGCCCATAATTGGGCTCTGGATCGCTCGTGCCTAGGCCAGGCCCTGTCCGCGTGCAGCCACGCCGTGCCTCCCCGTGAGGCCGGGCTATTGGCAGGGACTCGCGACCCCCTACGTCCCCGATATCTCAATCAGAAAGTCGCAGGTTCCTCGACTCGGGGACCCGGGACCCGGTGTCCAGACCAGGCCCCATCCTGCCGCCCGCCTCTGCTCGGGGCTCCGTGCTTCCCGGGGCTTCGCGGCCCTTGGCGAGCGGCGTGGTGGGGGAGATTCCTCCCCCGTCTCTGACTCCAAGAGCCCCACACACACGAGGACCCCCGCGGGTGTCCCCTGAAGGGATCCCGGGTGCCCGAAGGCGTCGTGTGGCCGGGCGAACTCACCTTCCCAAGTGACATCGTACATCTCCGCCACGGACGACATGGTGGCCGCGCTCTCTGTACACCCCCCACCTCGACCCCGCCGGTAGGAGGAGCGCCAGGCCCCTCCTCCTTCTCCTCCCTCCTCCTCCCTCCTCCTCCCTCCCTCTCCCTCCTCCTCTCCCTCCTCCTCCCCCTTCTCCTCTTCCCCCTCCTCCTCTCCCTCCTCCTCCCCCTTCTCCTCCTCCTCCTCCCCCTTCTCCTCTTCCCCCTTCTCCTCCTCCTCCCCCTTCTCCTCCTCCTCCCCTTCTCCTCCTCCCTCTCCCCTCCCCTCCTTCCTCCCCCCTCCTCCTCCTCCCCCTCCTCCCTCCTCCCCCTTCCTCCTCCCTCCTCCCCCCTCCTCCTCCCCCTTCCTCCTCCTCTTCTCCCCCTCTCCTCCCCGTCCTCCTCCCTCCTCCTCCCCGTTCCTCCTCCCCTCCTTCCTCCCCCTTCTTCCTCCCCGTCTCCTCCTCCCCGCTCCTCCTCCCCGTCCTCCTCCCTCCTCCTCCCCTTCTGCCTCCTCCCCCTTCTCCTCCTCCCCCTCCTCCTCCCCGTCCTCCTCCCCCTCCTCCTCCCCCTCCTCCTCCCCCCTCCCTCCTCCCCTCCTCCCCCTCCTCCTCCCCCTCTTCCTCCCCTCTTCCTCCCCC